CGCAAGTCGCTAAAAAGCCAAAATAAGTAATTGCCACCTTGTTTGGCAACTTTGAGAGCTCATCAGCAAACACAAAAAAAATGTCCGGCAACAAAAAAAAAAGAAAAGAAAAAAAAACGCACAAAATTGACAAATTAAAAGCAAGTGAAAATTGTACTCAAACAAGGGAAAAATGAAGGACAGATATCCAAAAGGGAAACAAGCCGGGCACACAATTAAGCAAAGGGATTGCCACAGCAAAGGCAACAACAACAACAAAGCTGAAGTAGAAAACAAAAAAAAAAACGGGAATACAGGCTCAACAATTAAGAAAGAAATACCGGAGTAACTAGAGAACTTGGGAACCGAGGGGTGAGGGGTGAGGGTTGGGCTTGTGCTCCAGGACACACAATCGACAACTCATGACTGGGATGAAGAGCGGAGGAGGGGGTGGGAAGGGAAGGAGCAGCACTTTCGGGCGCGCAATTATGATTATGGGTACGTCTACCACCCACAACCCCAAACCCAACCCCATTCTAAGTACACTTTAATTGTTTTTTTTTTTTTTTCGTTTTCGTTTTTTCTTTTGAGGGTTGCTGGCTGGACGGAAATTCATTAGAGCGTTCAGTTGAGGCCCAGCATGTCAAACAGTTTCCAAGACGCTTTCTTGGCTTTTTCTTCACTGCGCAAAAATTGCAATTTCAACAGGCACCCCAACCCCAAAGTCAGTCGACAATTGTCTCTGCCAGTCGTCCATTCTACTACTACTACTACTGCGAGCAGGGGAGGGAGAAGAATAACAGACAGGGGGATGGGGATGGGGATGGGGAGAGGGCGGAGGAGGGCGTTGAGCAACACAAAAAAAGGCTTCGCATCCTGTGCTGGCGATAAAAAATAAGGACCGCTAGCCAGGCGAGCAAACATAAAAATGCGTTCTCTAGCCTTCAGAAGTTGTGCCCGGCAAAGTCTGCTTGCGGGTAGGTGAGGGCGGGAAAGGGGCGTGTTGGGTGTTGGGCGTGGACGGACAGGCACCTAAAACAGAAAGTAATCAACCCACACACACACACACACAAACACACATACACAGATAGACAGCGACCGACTGAAACGCGCGCTATCCTTCCCAACCCACCCCACAAACCCCACCCACAAGCCGCCCATTCGCTCCACTCCACTCATTTGCACAAAACACACCCACAACTTGGCAGCAGGAGTAACTTTTCTCTGCTTACATTTTTTTTTTTCCATCATTTCTGTTTTCTACGTTTTCATATTGGGGCATTGAGCGGAAGGAGGGCTGGATGGGATGTAGACCAAACTGGGGACCGACTGTGGGAGTGGGTTTGTGGGGGACTGGGTGTTGGTCTGGGGTTCGTTCCGGGCATTGTTCTTGTGCCGCCATGAAAATTAATGAAGAAGTGCCCGACCCATGTTCCAACGGTCCTAAAACTCCGCTCAGTCCTAGAGCCTGACTGACATGCCCAGTCCCCAGACGCGGTCAAAGTAGGGGATGTGTGTGTGTGTGTATGTGTTTATGTGTGTGTGGCGCGTGTTGTGGTGTGGGTGTGGGGGTGCATGGTTGTGGGGGGTAGCAGTAGCACCCAAAGCTCCATTTGTCGCTGGTTTTTGCGCCTTTTACTTCTAAGGGTGCGTGCCGGATCCTTGTCCAACTCCTGTGCACTCACAGCTCGCTTGTCTAAAGCAACCAAGCCATTCCATTTTTATTTTTGTTTTTTTTTCCTTTTTCGGGCTACGCTTATGTGGGTTTTCACAAAATTGAGTCTTGAATTTATTTGAAAAGCACAAAAATATAAAAACTCATTAGAGGACATATTGTGTGCTGTATAATGGATTTGTAACCAAATTTCGTTTTAATTGAAAACATTGCAAAAATTCAAGTTTCTCATTGTTGCTCGCTAAACTTCTTTCTCTCTATCATAGTTTTACGAGTTTATATCACAAAATGTATTCCTTTTTCTGAAGAATTTTGGTATATGTACCAGGTTAGAAATTTTGTTAGGATTGTTATTCAGACTTAAAGGATTCTTACCTCTCGAACAAAATTTTATAGTGACAACAGATAATAAGCTACGGTTGTTTGGATAGATATTTTTGAAGACATCGGGGAAACAGATCGAATAATGAGTTAACTTGTTATTAATTATTATTTTTGTGTGAAATTTTGGTTGGAAACTTGTGCAAAAAAAAAAACTGAGAGATCTTTTTTTTCTACATGGGATTCCGAGGGTTTTTTTCGCTTCTATTTTTAAAACAACTATCACTTATTATATAGGATTTTGGTAAGCGAATAGAAGACTTTTTGATATATTATGGTAAATAAGAATTTAAGTTTAACTTATGTGTAAGGTACTCTGTCGCTCTCTCTGAAATAAAAATGGAGGGTTGCTTGCCTTTTTGGCTGGGCCACAGACAATGTCTATGAACGAGACAGATAAAATGGCAAACGTGGAAAGGCAAATGGCAAATGGGGAAAAACAAAAGGCGCTGTTTAAAACGAGAAGCGATTTGAGCAAACAAACGGCACATTGGGTAAGCCAAACCCGGCGGGGAGTCACAAGCGACTCACCGCCACTCTCAGCACAGGCAGCACAGGCAGCTGCGAAAAAGGACACACACGGTCAAGTGGGTGTGCGAGTGTTGGTTGGTGGGTGTGGAAGTGTGTGTGGGGTTATGTGTCCTGTAGGTGTGTGTTCAACTGTCCACGTTTAGAGGTGCTTGCCTTCCGTTTGGTGTTGGCTGCTTTTTTTTTTCGGCTGGGACACTCGTGCAACGGTCGCTAGGTGGCGCCAGACGTGACGCGCCGCCAACTGGCAAAACGGTGGAGGGGGGAGTGGTTTTGGGCGCTGATGACGACGCCTTTGCTTTTAGCTTGATTGCCAAGCCTAGTTAACTGTAAAGTTTTATAACTTTGCCAAGCTCAGCCAGCCCACAGCAGACACCCTGCACTCTGAGCCCTGCGCCCTGTACCCTATATTCTATACTGTGCATCCTACCCCTCGCCTTGCCAGCGTTAAAATCGCTTGGTTTATAACACGCGCCAACGCAGTGCTTGCTGCTCCTGCCACGACCACCCACACATTGTCCCGTCCTTAACAGCTTCGACGTCACTCGACCCTTTTAAAAAGTCGTCAATACTTGGCATGCAGCCCCGTCGACCCCTGCCTTTCCGCCACTGGCTCAGCCGTGCAACGGCCTCTGAACTTTGCCAGCAACGAGGACAGTCGAAGGACGAGTCGCAGACCGAGGCCCAGGCGTCTATCAAATTCCAATTTCGGTCCCTTTTTTTTTGTTGCCTCTACCGGCATTCAAAGTTTATGGCGTCTTTTTAGCGTAAATCCTGCATGGAACCGTTTGGGTAACGGTAGCCCAACCAGCTAACCTCACCCCCAGCTCCCAGTCAATCTGGTTCTCTGGCTTTCATTTTGGGTGCTGCACCCTTTTTGGTAAGGGACGCCACTGGACCATGGCTTCAATTCTCCCCTTATTACAGAGACAGCATCTTCAATATCCTTTTTAGCTCTTTCCGAGGTTTGTGGTGCACCCATCTAACCCTTCCCCATATATATATATATATCAGAAACTTTAATACATTTTTTATTTTTGTCGCTCATACTCATAATACGAGTTTTCCATTTGACGTTCTCTGTGGAAGCGCTGCTTTATATGCTCTTGTTTGATTTATATACCCTAACCGAGTCCATCATCAATTCATTATGCAATTGCTCACTGCTAAAACAGGTATTATGTAAAGGCCAACTAATTTGTAGTGTGGGGCTTACATTGTCTTTCTGAGTAGAAGCTAAATATCTGTCCATTATCATATTAATACAACGCTGACATAATCCATAAGCCTAGGGTATAAAACATGTTTGTATTATTCTGTTATTTGCTTGTAGATTTTTGAGCATTTTCCAACGCTTTGTTAACTTTATTGGCTTTATTGAAATGCTGGCCAGGTATAGAAATATATTTTATTTGCACCACGTATTTGTATACTCCATAAATATGTTTGATATATGTACATAAATTAATTTTATGCAAAAATTTATCCCCAAGCAATAGTTGTCATACTGCTGGTACTTTTGCCATATACTTGATCAGCATCAAATTATACTCATTAAACAAAGTTTCTAGATTTTCATCGGCTTATATAATTATAATGAAAGTTATATGTCAGCAAAACTAAATTTCATTTCTTTCTCAAACTTGCCTGCTTAGTTGACTTTATGCACAACGATTGATTTCTTCCTCTGCTTTAAGTTGGTGGTCACACAATTGATATAGATCTATATCATTTGATTCTGCTAATTTTTACTAAGTATAAATATTTACAAGAAATTGCCAGAATCATACATATACATATATATTTCTGGGAATTTCGTTTTTTCCTATCAGTTCTTTTTGAGCTGCGGAATGAAAAATTTGCTGCGATAACCTATAGCTAAGTCAATAATACAATACAGTGTTCATTCCAAATTTAATGCGGAAAAAGGTGCTTCAATTTGCACATGAATATAAATTTGGAATATAAATTAATATCAATTTTCATTCATATATATTCTAGAGTCTTGTTACTAAAACAAAAGTATCAAAATAATAAATAGTGTCGCTAATTCAGCGTTTAACGTATTGACGGTAAAAACTTTAACATTTCTATTGAAGATTCGAGAATATTATGTGTTTTAATATTTAACATTTAAAAGTGTGTCGCATTCTATATACCACATTTATATATCAACAACAAGTATATAGTTGTTCAAAATATAAATAATGTTGACAAAATAGTTGCAAAATCAAGTAACTAGCAGCTTTGCAACTATAATTTCAAAAAATTCCAGCTTACGAGCGGCCACTATAAATATATATATATATATTTTTATATATACACATTCATATACATATACATATACATATATATATATATGCTAGCTAAAAGTCACTCTTTATTTCGCTGCTAAAACCTGGTACTTAATGAGCACTCTCTCTAAGGCTGGTTTCAGTTATATTCCAGCACTTCGAGTGAACAGAATGAGACACGCAAATATTTTGCTGAGCTTGATCAGCTTGTGCCTGTTGGCTTTGCAGGTAGGTCAGGTTGTGCTGTTGTTTGCTTAGCCTGCAATGACGTCATCGATTGTCTCTTATCACAGCCGGGCAGCGCGACAAGCAGCAGCGATAACAATAGTGGACCCGGCGTAGCACTAACCCGGCAAGCTATCGCTCTGGGCATGGAGCCGACGACGTTGAGCGAACTGTGGCGCACCAAACAGCCGGTGATTGTGAGCAAGATAGACGCACTGGGAAAGGAGCTTTCGACAACCTACGAACTCTCGCCCGATGGCCAACAGATAACCAGCAGCAGCCATAAGGTGGAGCAGGTTAACCCACCCAGTCAACCAGCAGCAGTGGTGCAGCAGCCAACAAATCCACAATCGGACTGGGAGTATGTGCCCCGTAGCCCCAACAAGCTGAGCAGTTCATCGACATTTGGCAATAACTGGCCCAATTTCGGGTCGCCGACGTGGCCCAGCTTTAGCTTCCCATCGAGTGGAATACCGCAAACGTCTACTGGTGATCAGGGACGCACTGTGACCACAACAACAAGAGTCTTTAGAGGACCCGTAAATAGCATCTGGTCAAATGGAGCGGATGTTGCAGCCAAGTGGCCCAACTTTAACTATCCCGCTGGAGTAACGCCACGAACGACCACCAAAACGACGCTGGATGATCAGGGACGCACTGTGACTACAGTGACGAAGACCTATCCAGTTATTTCCACTGTTTCATCGGGAACTGATCCTGATGGCTTGCCCACCAATTGGAACGATTTCAATGGGTTGCCGTCCTGGTTTAAAACCCCCAACTTTGAAAACGAGTCGCCCAGTTTGACGCCCACGCCAGCAGCACAGCCTGTGCCATTGCCCGTGCCATTGCCCACGCGACCCACTGTGTTGTCGCAACCACCGCTTCCCACAGCGGTGCCGAGCTATGATATGTACACCACCACACCGCTGCCCTCGCTGGAGGAGTTTCTCCGGCAGACGCCCAAGACTACAGACACTACCAATGTTTATGAGCCGACTGTAAATAGGACAAGGATAACACGAGTCAATTTCAATAGCGCTGCACGACCAACTATCGCTGATATGGATCCCCAGATGAGAGATATGCTCAGTCGTGGCGGCATTACAGATGAGGATTTGCAAACTGCTCGAGTTCAGGGTAACGATTTAGTCCGAACTGTAGCCCTGCCCGATGGACGGTCCATTACGACGACGGTGCGGATCAAGAACCGGGCGGAACCACAACCAGTGGTCCCATTGCCAACGGCACCACCACGCCAAGCTCCTCCACCAGTTCAACCGCAGGGCAATACAATAGACGATTACCTGTCACAAGTGCAACTAACACCATCAGATATTCAGGCCCAAAACGGCGAGGTGATCAAAACGCTTGTCGACCAAAATGGACGCGTTCTCAGCGTCAAGTTTGTGCTGAGCACCGTCAAGGGAGACGAGCAGGGCCAAGGACAAACAGAGCAGTCAAACAAATAAAACGTTTAATGCGGAAAGGAAAGGAAAACTATCTATAAAGAACTAATTATATAATAATTTATAATTGTATATATGTGTATATACAAATGTATACAGTGTAAATGCTTTCATAAATAAATGCTTATCAGCATGGGGGTATGCCCCAAGATTACATCGCATCGCAAGGCAAAATAATTCAGACTCGCACATAAACAGAGCGTCAAAATAAAAAAGTGACCATGTATTGATGTGCCCGATCACTGGGCAAAATCGGGAGTGTTTTGACTACGCATTTTTTGACAGTCGCATGAAAAATATAACAAAATTGTATTCATAACACTGCTGCCAGGGGGCTACAAAGCAACACGATTGAATTTCATTTGTCTTTTTGCACAGTGCACGTCACTCACAAAGTTTTTTTACGTTGAATACAGAAACGAAATCAAGGCTTAAAGTTCAAAGACTTTAATATATTTGTGTATAAATGTATGACACAATTCGGCTTTATATATTATTATTATGATTATTATATATTATTATCATTATTATTATTATTATTATTATCATTATTATTATTATTATTATTATTATTATTATTATTATAAATTGTTGTTCAAATATGTACTTACCTCAGCTGAAAATATCAAAAACCTTTACAAATTTACAACTACTAAGCAGTCTTAAATAAGCTTTGCGTTCATTTTTTAATAAGCATTCTAATTTATTAAAAATTTCTCCGTTGCATTCAAAATTTGGCAATTGCAAAAGAAATTGTTTGACATACAAAAAGCATTTAATTTTGTGTTTAACTAATTTATTACAACAATTTTTCGGCTTGCGCTAATAACTGAGCTGGAAAATAACAAAAAAGGAGAGAAAAAATCAAATATTATGCAATTCAACAAAATAAAAATAATAACAATAGTACTCTAAACAAATAATATAAATAATACAAAAGCATTGCATTAGGCATGTTTACAGCATCATTAAAGTGAAAACATTAATTGCAGCAAATAATTCAAGCATTAAGAGATCAAATATCATTAAAAAAAAATTTTAAATAAATAAATTAATAGAAATTCAAATTGAACTTCACACAAAACAAACAAAAAAGCTGTTGTATTATTGTTAAATTTTGTGCATTGCGCAAAGCGAAAGCATTTGTTGTGGCCGAAAGGGGTTGTTGTGGTTGTTGCTCTTGTTGGGTGTTTTGTTCTTGCGACACAGCTCTCTCTCTCTCTCTCTCTCTCTCTTTGTGTCTCATAATCTCGATTACATTGCGATAGATGCATTAGATTTATAAGCCAAGCATGTCATAGAAAAAAGAAACTAAATTAGTAAAAATTTGTTGGTGATCAAATACGAATAACAGAACAAATGCTTAAATATTAAATTTGGTTAATGTCTTCTGTATGTAAGCCGTAAAGAACAGTATCTTCGAAATTTCCGAAGATTCAATAACCCATGCAGTAGAACCTCATTGTTTTCGGGACCATTTTATTAGAATTTAATAAAATATATAAGAAATGACTTGTGAATAAAAAAGAATTTTCAATTTGACGTTCTCTGCAAGGGTATACAAAAATGTTTGTTTCGAAGCTGTTTAACTAATTAAAAAGCAATGCCTACGAGGACTTTTAAACGCACTTGAAACTAACAACAAAGTGTGTATTCAAAAAATAAAATATTTCAAAACAATTACACGGGGCATAAATATTTGAAAATTTGTTTGCATATTTTATTTGCATTGTTTGGGACACAACAATGAACAAAATATTGCATATATATATATATATATATATATATATATATGCATATGTTTTTTTACGATATTAAAAAATGCGAAAGCATGCCAAAGGCATACAAATGTAATAAAAACTTAATAAAATATGAAAAATGTTTCAAATTAAAATTTGTGTTGAGCAAAAATTTGATTTGCATTTGTTGTTCTTGGCAGTGCAAGTATAATACTATAAATTGTATAATAAACAATAGTGTGACGAAATGGAAACTTATCTTAATGCAATAACTTAATAATAATAAAATTGTTTATGCAAATGAGTTGTAAAAAAAAACCAAACAATATGAATATGATATCATTGTGTAATTAAGAGATCATATGTTATATTAAAAATTAAAATTGAGATTTTGCAGGAGCGCAGTTCAAGAAAATGTACATATAGCATATAAAAAATATTAATTGAAGAACTAAATAAGATTTTAGATATTTTTGGTTGAGATAATTTGAATTTTTTGGTAATGTGGGTCCATAAATTTTTGTATATAATTCATATATTTTGTCATAGAAACAAAATATAGAAGACATTTTTATATTTCCCATGTGAGTATTCTGATTTCTTATAAGCTAATCTTACATATCTAAAGTGTATATTTGAAATCTTTACTCACCAAGTTATCAAAGCGCAGGGCATCCTCATCGCTGAGGCCCATGCTGCGCGTCAGCTGCAGATAGGTGGATGTGATGGGCTTCAAACGCTCCAAATCTAAGGGCGGCAACGGCACGGGCAGCTGCTCCATGGGAGCCGAGCCGCGCAGCAGCAACTGAGGTATGCGCAGATCCGCTGGCAGCGTCTTGGGCGGACTGGGCAGCTCCAGCTTAAGGGGAGGAGCAGAGACAGGAGTAGAAGTCGATGCTGGCTGGCCATTGCTGGATCTGGAAAATGGAGGCTTTGTTAGATTTATAGGTGTTTGAGGGGCTGTGGGCGTGGCTGTCAAAGCGATCGGTGAGCGTGCACGAGTCGAACTGTCAGGGGAGGACTTTAGTTTCTGAGAGGAACTCGGCGCAGAAGAAGCGACCGAGACAGACAATGGTTTGTTATTATTGTTTGTAGCTGTGCCTGTGGCTGTAGCTGAGGCTGAGACTGAGGCTGTGGTGCTTGTGCTTGTGCTAGTCGTGGTGGTGGTTGGAAAGCTAAGGCTTTGTAGCAGGCTGCTGCCGTAGAGGGGCGGTGCTAAGACCGGTTGGCTAAGCAGCGAGCCGCCCGCATAGAAACGTCTCATGAAATCGTAATAGCGCACAAGATTATCCCGCGACTTAAGCAGTTGCAAGTCAAAGTTCGGAAGCTGTAAGGGATTGGTTGGCATTGGAGCCTGTGGCTCAGTAGGTGGACTAAGCGGACGCTGCAATTGTGTGTTGACTCGTATTTTGGGCACGCTGACCCCACTCGCTTCGTCAGACGCCTCAACGGTTGTGGGGACAATTGGGGGAGTGGATGGTGCATGTGGTGGATGTGGTGCTAGAGCTCCTGCTGCTGCTGTGGCATCCAGCTGTGTGGCACTAGTGCAGCTGGCAACTGATCCTGCGGCCAGCGGTGCATGTGCTTTTAAGTCAGCGCTCGAATGGCGACGCCGCTTGGCCGTCGGACCCGCCTCTAGAGAGCTTTCTGTATGCGATGAATAATTTAAATAGGTTTCCACTTCCGAGGAGCTCTCGTTGCCAGCCAGCTCGTCCTTAGAGACAGCCGAGGGCGAGGAGGGTCGTAGGTTCTTCTTGCACTCGGGGCAGATGGTCAGAAAGCGCGTGACAGCTTCACGGGGCAGAAATGCATAGGTTTCGGTTATCTTAAAGAATGGAAAGAGATTTTAAAATGTTATGAATCCAATATGAAGTACAAAATATTTGGATTACGCAAAATGATATATAAATTGGAAAATAATTAGAACTTCGTAAACTGAATCTGAATGTAATGTTATTAAAGTTGCTGACTGTTCGCAATCATAATTTATAAAGTAAGCTTACTAAAGTATATTAATTAAGATAAAAAATAATAAGATCTACGGAACAAATGTTGTGATAACTGAAATAAATATTATCATATTCTAAGTGTTCTTATAAAAAAATAATACACAAAAGATGAGTAAATAATATGTAAATGAGGAAGGAATATGCATATTTACTTAGTCCGTCTGATAAAATTTCACTACTAACTAATACGATAGTTCATAATGATTGACAAACTGAAGTACTTTGGCTTATACTCTACACTCACAATGCGATAGGTACGTTTCTGTCCCGCATGCATGCCACTGCGTCCGCCCAGCTCCATGTGCACGTTGTAGATGATATCGAAGAACTCCTCAACGCAGGCCACCTTGCGGTAGATGCGACGACCAAAATCTTTGCTCTTGGAGGCGGCAAACAGATCCACGGCGCCGGGATTATCGGAGAGCACAGCAGTGTTGGGCAATGGCTGAAGGCGCCGTCGACTGCCGGGCGCCTCCTCAAAGCCATCGGGTCGTTTGGTTGTAAAACCTGTAAAGTGTAAATCAACGTGAAAAATATATTTTTCTAAGCTTTTCTTCATGAAGACACATTTTAAGAGAGTACGAATACTTTTCTAGAGAAATTGTGCATTATGCATTACTTATTAAATTAGTTATTTAGTTTCAAACTATTTTTTAAAAATATTAAGTTAAGTTTACTGTTAGAGCATGAGTAGCTTAGTGGAAAAGTTTAACATCATATTTAGAAAAATAGTGTAATATTTCTAACAGTTTTCTCATTGTAGATGGGTCAACAACTTACCCTTGGTCTTCACCCAGAAGCGAAACTTGGAGCTATCCGGCCGACTGTGCTCCTTGCCCTCGAGAGCCTTAAGGATGCGCGCCTTCTTGCGCAGCGTTATTGTCTTGGTCTTTGCCTGATCGCCATAGGTCTTCAGGGCCCATGGTTGGAACAGCTCGTAGATTACCTCACGCTCGCTGGCCAATTTGGTCAGCGAGAGCGGGCAGGCCACAGGCTGCTCCACCAGCTCCTCCACATCCGCATCGTAAGCCGTCTCCGGAACAGGTTCAGCCCTACCCACAGTCACGGGAGAGCTCTCTTCACTCTCGTCTATGGCGTAGAGTTTGCGTTTGTTGCCGCAACTCTCCGCCAGGCCGAGTGCAAGGGAGCCTTCCTGGGGCTGAGCCTGGTCGAGAATGTGCTTACGATTGCCATTAGACTTATCCATGGAAATGTGTATGAATTTGTGGCCAGAGAACTTATGAGTTTTTTTCTTTCTTAATAAAACTATCGATCAAGACAAAGTCCAAGCAACAAAGGAGCTCATTGATTTAAAAAACTATAATTTTTTAGATTTAAAAAATTGTTCTTCGATCTGTGGGATTTCATAGGGTATGCTGCAATGAAGTTGAAAGACTTTCAATTATATACCACTTATTGAGACACTTTATATATAATAAAATCGGGATGCATTTTTCATTATCTTAAATCATAATTGAATTGTGCGTAACACCAATTTTCCACTTTTCACTTACGGCTAATTTTTCTTTTTAAGCACAAGAGTTCAACGAAAACGATACACAATGAAAAATGTTAAACAGAAACAGAAACAAAAACAAATTTTAATTTGGTAACAATTTAAAAAAAATTAACAGAAATCCCACATTAACGAAAAAACAAACGCGAGAAATTTCAACAACAAAGCCCAAACAATGAATTGCGCTCAAAAGCAACGCAACGCAACTGAACGCGACGCGACCGAAATGAAAGTTTAAACTCAACTGATCAGCTTTGGGCCACAGAGGGAACCCATCCTCCAGGATGCTGAGGTTCAGTTCTAGGTCCAGTCGAAGACAGGCTGCGTCCGGCTGCAAACCGGTTAAACATTTGACCGCTCATCTTTGAACTGCCCAAGTCAAGTTAATGAACGCTGCAAGCGACAAAGCAAATAGGGATGGCAAAGGAGTAACTCACACCAGTGCACAGGGTATTTTTGTTATAGATAACCATTGTGCCTACCTCAATAATTGCGCAATTGTAGGCTGGGCGACCAACCCAGTGAGGGCTCAACGCTGAACGTCTTTTGCGCTTTTTATGAAATGCCGTTAGAGAAACCAACCCGCAACTCTCTTCCTCTCTCTCTCACTCACTCTCTCTCTCTCTCTCTCTAGCTGTCTTGCTCAACCCGCTCTCTCGGTCGCGTCAGGAGCCACCCCTTGCTTAGCTACGCATATTTAGCATTTTTCTTAGCATACTTTTCGGCGGCGCTGCGCGAGTCTCGCATTCCACTTTTGGTCTCTAAAAATATTTTACGTTCACTTCGCTCACACGCCCGCACTTGGGCGCAACCCCCTCCTCCTCCCTGCCAACAAGCCTGTTGCGCCTTTTTGAGTTCCCTTAGGTATGCATTATTTGACTTTGTTTTGTCATGTTCTCTCTTGTTGTGTTTTGTTTTGTACACTTTTTTTCTCCGTCAACGTATCACATGTTGCGTCATACACACAAAGTGTAATAAAAATAAATGAAAAAAAAGCTTAAGTGGGGTTTAAATATTTGGGGGGTTGGAGAAACTGGGCTGCAAATACCATAACGAGTACATCATATTCAAGATAAGCTCTAAACATCTAATAACCATTGAATAAATATCGCTTTTTTTTCGAGCAGTTAATCGTTTAAGAAGGGGCAAATGAGGTGTGAAATTAACTTACTCGATGGGTTTCACTTTTATGAATAATCAAAACAATCATTTGCAAGATATTTAAAGATTTATTCTAGTTTTATTCATAAAATAGGGTTTTCTTTTCAATTATTTACATGTCAATTGCTAATGTGATTATCGCTTTCTTACCTGTTATAATATTGTCAGTAATAAATCGAATCACGTTGTTTGTGAACGCATATTGTATGCTCATATTTATAGTGCTTATTCCATTATACTTTAATGCAATACATATTTAATATGTTTATTTAAAATTTAATACTTATTTAAGTAACACTTTTACATGTAAAGCTTATACGAAATAATATTGAATGGCATTTTGCTGAAGCGTTCAAAAGTATGCTACACATTTTTAGCAAGCACTGCTAGGAATGCCCGCCTTGGACGGGACTGTGTCTTTTTGGGGTGAGTGTTGGTTGTCGTTTTATCTCTTTAAGGGTAAGCTATTTGTTTTGATTATTCGTTGCCTGTGCAGGAATCTTGACTGCTGATTGGTCGTCACTGTCCCAGTGCCGGTTCCTTGTGCCATCTACAGAACTTCCCCCTCAGTGTCCCGTTCTGTTCGATTTGGTTGTGTTTATATGACTTCTGTCTGCAGCTCAGCCTCAATTGGACCAAATTCAACTTAATTACTGTACCCTGATCACAACTGGATATTTTTGCATACATATTTTGTGTATTTTTGTCCGCCAAAATACAGATGCCAGCGTCAACGGTCAGTTCGTAAAGTTATTAAATTTTAACCGGTTTTTGTAACGTTTTTGCTGCAATATCTTGAATCTGTTTTCAGCATCTGTAACGTTCGCTCGAGTTCGCTCATAGTAACAATTCCGCAGCGGTCAGATACTTAATGAGATGAGGCTGAAGATGCATAGGTCAGATATCATTATGATTTGTTTAACAAGATGGGAAGTCAGAGAACTTAAACAGAGCTGCGAGAAGTCATGTTAGTCAGGGAAACATGGGTAACTGATCTTGATGAGAGCATTTTCTAAATAAATTTAATTTATATTATAATGCTTACTTCCTTTTTTATATTACTTTTACAATAATAAATCCGAAAAATGTTATTTTAATACAAGTTTTTCTGCATATGGAACTGAATAAATTGAAGCCGAATACAACTAAAATTGTAAGAAAGGTTTTTGCTTATATAAATGTAATGCTTATAATAACACTTGGAAGTAACGTTCATTTGTAAATGCGTAATATAGATTTGTTCTAAAATCAATACCACTTAACACTGTGCGTTCTTCTAACTCCTATTTAGGTGAGCTCTTCCCCAATAGGAATCGCAGCCTCTCTCAACCAATATGCTGTCAATCAGCTCATTAAGGACTGCAGCTCATCGCTTATGCATTGAAATTGGCAGTCATTTGTAAAAAAATCAATGCATGTCTGAGTAATCGATGCTGCCTAATGGAATATCTAAGCTAATAGGGCCGCCACATAGGTCAGCGAGCGCAGTCCGCAAATCCCACAGGACACACTTGAACGGGCGGCGATCCGCCTTGGAGGACAATTAGTGCAGCGACTTGGAGACAAACAATGCTGCTGGCTGCTGGCTGTTGGCCATTTGGTGAGCCAATGTTTGGCATCGGAGTCGTCTTGCCATTTGGTTAGCAATTAACCAACTGGCCAAATAGCATGAATAAATCGCCTGGCTAAGTGGCCCTGGATCCAAGACGTTGCCCCGACTGGTTCTAGGGAGGGGTTGCATCTGTGGCAGTAGCAGTAGCAGCAGCAGCAGCAGCAGCAGGACATTGGGCTGGAAACTAGTTTTTGGTTCACTTGGGCGAATCGAAACTTTCTCACGCTCAGCATCCGTGGCAGGACATGAAACTTTTATAAAAATCAGCTGAACTTTCTCATCAAAATTTCAACAGATTTGTGCCCAGAACCAAAGCCGAAAACTCTGATCCATGGCCAGGCCGGTTTTTCAAACTGGACACAGCATCAACGGATAGCTGGGCATCTGACGACGTCGAAACGTTGAACTTTGACACGCATCCCGGCCAAGATGCAACCCCTTCGGTCAACCAGTTTTCACCGGGCTCCGTCGCTGGTCACTATCTATCTAATACATGCGTCCTACAGTTATTTCTCCATATTTTTTGGGGTGGTTTGAAGATGCTGTCTCGCTGTCTTGCTGTCTATTTGATTTGCAATCTTTGCGGCCCGCATATTCCACTCTTTAAATATTCCTTTTCTTGTATTTTCGGCACAGATAATGTCCAGTTTGCTGTGCGTGTGTGAAAAACGGTCTAGAAATCCACTCAATTTGAATGCTTAGCTGCAGATGTGTTGATCTTACTTTGGTTTGTTGTTTGCTGTTGTTGTTGCTTATAATGATGCTGCTGTGCCAAAGGACACCAATAAAAAGTCTACACATCTCCTGCATCAATGCGACTTTTGGTCAACATATAACCAGTTTGATTTTAATGGCCTGTTCCTGCGTATTTTTTCTGTTCAATTTTCAATGTTTTATTTTTTGATGGGATCTGAGCAACGGATCAATATGGTAAAAACGTAATACACTTTTAACTAACAGCGATTTCTATAAAATAGTAGATAAGGATATTTTTCATAAGCAACAAGTAATGCTGTCATTGTTCGTTCTTTCAAATTGCAGATACTTATTATTTTCCTCTTATATGTGTTTTTTCTTTATTTTTTTAATGATTTATTTATCAACTATAAATTATATTTCTAATTAGAGTATGCCAGTATTTGCATTATTTTGGACTTTGAAATAATGTAAAATGGTATCTATAGTAAAAGAAAGCATTAAAAATAAGGCAAATTATTTGATATTATGTAAACAAATATTATTTATGATTTAACTACATCTTTCACATTAACTTAAGCTCTGTAAAATTTGTATATTTCAATGAATGAATTGCCGGCTACTCAAAGACAACACATGCATTGTACATTTCCAATCTGTTATCCCCAAGGTCTTTTTAAATAATTATAATGCAATGTGAAAAAATTTAATTTTATTTCTTTAACCGTTTCAATTACTTTGATTTTATTTATTTGTTCGTTCGACTTTTCAAATGCGTTCAATTCAATTGAAGCTTTTTGTTGCCTCTCTCCGGGGACTGTGTCGATATGGTGCCAGTGTGTGTGTGTGTGTGTGTGTGTGTGTGTGTGTGTGTGTGTGTGTCCTGTGTGTGCATGGAAGAGTTCGATAAATTTCAATTACTAACCCAATTAAAAAATGTTGTACGCTTTTAGGAGCCCGAAAAATAAAACGCGACAACGTATAAAAATAAATGTTGGCAAAAAAATGTATATTTTCAATATATTTGCCGAGCTTAACAACAAAAGCAGCAAAACAGTTGGTGAGAGAGAAAAGTGGACAACAGCGACTCAAACCAATTTTAATTTATTTTTTTACTCTTGCTGTTGTTGTTGTTGTAGTTGTTGGTCGCCGCCGTGACACATACGCACCATTGGCCCCGCCGGCTGTCCGGGGGTATTTATATTGTTGTTGTGGTTGTTGT